TACGTCTTTTTTTTACTTCTAACAACGGATGTAAAAAGTGGTTGTAAACATGGGAAAGAAACTGTATTTTTCGAGCTGTTCAACAAAAAATTTAACTTATGCATACTTTTTATTTGTACTTTAAATTTCGTTTTTTTTTAAACATCAAACTGTACACTGTTTTCAATGTTCAGCAAAATAAATTAGATTCTAGGATTTAGAGCAAAACAGAAAACTTTATTACATTTACTAGACTGCAGTCCAATTTCGTTTTTTGAGACATAAATACCAGAAAGCTGTTTTAAAATCCAAGGTATCATTAGATTTTCCACCATCGAAAATGTTCACTCGCTTTTGATCTAAAAGAAAATCAAAAACACCCGATTTGAAACTAACCACAACAATATCAATAATAATAATAGTAATAATAACAACCACTACAGAGTGGTTTGCGAAGGCAACACCAATATTTCTCTTTTCTTTTTTCTGCACCTAAATGACGACATTTATATATAAACTGAACGACAAAAACAGCATCCATCCATCCAACTACCAAAATACGAACGGCAAAAATTGCAGCAGTCCTTCAGTCACGCGTCAGAATCGTGATTTTCGCGCAAAAATTTTTTGTTTTCAAACCACATATTTTTTGTTCCCAAAAATAACAGTTTCGTAAATTCCAAAAAACCAAAACCGTTTTTTTTCTTCTCCTTTTTTACTCCTTTTCTTCCTTCTTCAGCTACTCATTTTCCTCCTTCTCCTTTCTCCTTTTACCCCCTTTTGCTCCTGTCGCCTCCCATCTCTTCTGCCCCCATCATTTCGCTTTCTCTGCCCAGTTCCTTTTCAGTAAAAAATAACCTTCCGATAGGGAGTCTTCATCTCTGTAGTCCCTGACTATCCCCCGTTCACCCATCATGATCACCATCATCGTCACCACAACCACCACTAACATAGTCACTGATGCTCGCGCCACAATCTGTAATCGTTAACGAAACTAAGAAGAGATTTACTCTTTTTCAACGGTTTTAATTCTTTCTCAGCACACGCAGAAAGGCAGACTAGCAGACAGACAGACAGTCAGTCAGGGAAGGAGACAAATAGACAGACCTCAAGCAGAATCTGGGTTAACCTTCTACAAACTGAAAAAATCTCTTTTTGGTCCCTTTTGAGTTTAGCCATACTTTGATTAGCGATGTTCAGTGATTCCGAACTGCTGCGAGATCACTTTTGCTGCTTACAAACATCATTTTTGACTTGTTTTATTTATTCATTTTTTTGACTCAGTGAAGATACAAAAACTTTTATATCCCAATTAGCTTATCCAGAACAGTGTTTAAGGTGAGAATAAAGGACATGATGAGAGGGGAAGAGACTGCTGATAGTGGAATAAACGGATAAATAAGTGGATTGCAGTTAGTGGACGAGAAAGATGAAGAAGAAAAAGCAGTAAGTGATTAATTGATCAAGTAACTAACCGTTTCACTGTTTTACCCACTACAACTTTTAACGATTAAACTAACAACGTTTTGTTACCATTTGCCGTTGTTATTCTAGTTTTTATTACTAAGCGATTCGTTCAACACCACCACCATTTTCAGCTTTGTGGTCGTCTCATCTTGTGTTCTCCGAGCACTTTCGCCTTTTTTTTTCCACTTTCCACTTTTTTCTTCTTTTTTTAGCATAACGCTTAATTATTAATTTTGCAATAATTTTTATTGTAATTTATAAGGTAAGAAGGTCGGTGGAGGGACAAGCAAGAAAAAAAAACCCTGGCACGCAACATGGACCTCCTCCGATCAACGATCGTTTTGTGTCTCAGTGGTTAAAAAACTTCTTGTTTATTTATCTTTTTACCTATTTACATCTTGGAATCATTATCTGTGCCAAGCAAGCAAATTTACCACCCAATGTTGCTTAGGTGGAAAAATGTAACCAAAGTCGGCGAACTTGTTTTAGACGACTACTTTCTTAGTTTTTTGACGACGTTGATGAAGATGACAGTGTTGAAATTTCCTTCCGGTATGTCCGTCCTTATTGATGCTGTTTTTTGACCACCACATACAACGACATACCCTCATTTCTCCCTCAATTTCTCATCCATTTTTTCCTCATCCTCGAAACTGTCTGCAGTTAAAGTCTACAGAGAGAAAAAAAAAAGAAACATGTTATAATCCGCTTAATGTCTGGATTTTTTCTTCTTTTCCATCCTATAATTTTCAGACTGAAGTGTTTAGAAATGGATGAGAAAATCCAGAATTATTTTGCTGCTAGCAGAAGTAATAGTTCAAGGAAATTTAATTTAATTTTAAAAAAAAAAAAAAAAAAAA